GAGTAGCAAACCATTTTCAAAACGAGCATGAAATGTTTTGTTCCAATTTAGGCGATTTGGTCTATACTTGTTTGCTGTGCGCACAACATAGTAATTCTAGGCTAATAACCAGGATAAGAACACATAATGTTTTCAAAAACGGATATCACGGTTAGTAGAGGCCGGTCTTCAAACCGGGCGAGAGGGGGTGCTCATCGCTGACCTTCCCCAATCGTACCCTAGCTCCCGAACCGAGACAACTCCGGTGATGACGGACATGTGGCCTTCGGCACCGAGTCAGGGTTTCCTAAATTCTCCCATTTTAAAATATTTAGGTGGCGACTCTGTATCTGGCAAAGCAGTCCATGTTTGGCACTTCTTTTAAAAAAATCTGTTTTCTCAAAACGATTTGCCAGATTTGGACTCTTTGGTTCAGATTAAGAACCGTGACAAATCGAGAGTCTGAACTGTAGTAGCGTAAGGCCCCCTCCGCGGGCGCGTCTACAGCTGCTTTTTGGCCTTCAAAAACATAGTTAAACACTAAGAGAATCATAGATTATAACGATTTAATCAAACAATAAGTTTTCAATTAGAATCCATCAAAACAAAATCAAAACAATCCTTCTATTGCTGCTGCTTATTGCTGTGTTCTACTGCTTGGTTCTTGCCTATTTGAGCTGAAATTTTGGCATCTAATAAACATAAATAAGACAAAATGAGGATGAATTATGATGTTAAATTAATTATAAGATTTCAAACAATTTAACTCTTCAATTAAATCAAAACACAAATCAAAACAAAATCATCAAAATCATTATGTCTAACACTTTTCTTACTTTCTTGCACTCTTACATGCTTTTTCTTGCTTTGTAATGCAATAATCCATTGTTGTTGCATACATATATGTAAAATGAAGCCTTGTGGATGTGGTTGGGAGTTAGAAAGTAGCCAAATTTGATTATGTAGTGTAATTTCTTTGCTTTTCATTCTCGTTCTCATCATCCAACCATGTTGGTTAATGTGTTTCAATCCATTCTCACTTCTAATGAGTAGTTGTGGTTGTGGCATGGAACTAGTTGGATGATTCTTAAGATTTGGTGTTGAGAGAGTTGTTGGCTTTCTTTTTTGTTGTTGTTCTTTTGGAAGTAAAGTAAGAGGTTTTTGGTCCAAGATGTTAAAAACTCTCTTCTCAATCTGTCTCGAACATGGAAAGGGATGGAAACATCCCTATTCCATGAGTAGAAGAGGAGTTTTCAATATTCTTTGATGAATCTCTTACTTTCAAGGCAAAGTTCCCACCAAGATATAGTGAGCATTAATATACTCTCTCCAATTAATAGCATGAATCTCGATATTAATCTACTCTTATTCACAAAGAGATGATTGTAAGTTTCCATTGATTTCTTAGGCTAGAACTTCTTCTAACCTCAATTTCTATTTCATTCACTAAATTGTTATAAATGTGATATAAAAATGATAGCATCATTTTGGGAGGTGTTAGTGTTTTGTTTTGACTCTGCTGCACAAAATAGACTTTCCCTCAGATCTTTCATCCGGCCGGCCAAGAAACAATCCGTCTAGCAAAACTTTCATTTGGCCGACTTACCTTTCTTTAGGCAGAACAAAACATAATAAAGCAGCTTTTGAAAGGTGATCTCTTGGGTTCTAAGGCTGTTGTTTATAATTTATTTGCTTTTATCCTATGATTTGTTAAATTTAGCTTAATTTATCTTAATTAATTCATTGTTGTAATAACTTCCAACCCCACGTCTTTTATTCATTCATTATGGTAATAACTCCTGACCCTACGTTTTTCTATCCCTTTTATTTATATGCTTTTCATATATGTTGTAAAGTATCATGTTTTATTTATCATATCCATGTTGTGCATCCATTTTTCATGCATACGGATTCGGTTCATTTACATTTGTGGGATTTATCAATTAAAAAGTGATTTTGTGTACTACCTCATATCATGAGATGATTCACATGTCACGTGTTAGTAGCTGAATCCTTAGTTGCATTTTGTGGGTGTACGACATTAGCTATTTGTATTTAAAATCATGCATATACATATAGTATATTATTTTTGACTTGCCATAGATGAATGGTAGGTGAGCATTTACAGTATTAACATCTCGGTTGTGTATGCTATTTTACTATATTTAGCATCCTGCCATGTGACTACGTGCTTATGTGATATACTTCTTTGAATGCCAATGGGTGAAGGTTGTGTTGCTTAGATTAGAATGATATTGACTGATATGTATGTGAGCTCAGTTTTATTTAAATTGTACATATATATTCTAAAAAAGTCTTTAAAAAATGCATGAAATAAATGCTTGATTCGCATAGTAATGTTAGCATTATTAAATAACTGAAACATGGGCATATGAAGATTATAAAACTCATATCATGACTTAGTAGTAGCCGATCTTTTGATTGGGTGAGTGAGAGTGCTCAATTCATGACCTTCCCTCTTTATATCTAAGTTCTCGAACCGATACACTTTAGTTATGACGGACAGTGGCCTTTGGCATCAGTCATGAGTTTCTTAATTTTTTTCAAAAGATTAGGTGGCGACTTTGAGACAACTAATTAGGAACATGGACTAATTTCCAACAACATTGTAAGATATATGGGGTTTCAACCACTTCCTACTTTTTAGGAATAGTTAGGTTGACCTAATATCTTCCATTATCCATTTAATTAATTAAAGGACAAACTTCACATAACCTTTTTGTGGTTTGTAAATTGAAGTGTACCGTTAAGTCCATTAACGATTTAATAAAAAAGGCTAAAATACTCTTGTATTTTCGTCATTTGTTTGAAAGACAAAGTGCACTTTAACCCCTTGTGCGTTATTCCATGTACAATTTATCCTAATTAAAATTTAAAAATAAGCATATAACCCTCTTATGTATGCTACATGTTTGAGACTTGTTGTTAAGTTGGATGGAATGTTAACGATGCACTTCACTCTATAAACCATCAGAGATTTATGTGATTATTTCCAAATGTTAGTAGGGTAAACCGCACATAACTCAAATCACATAGAGCAAAGTGAAATTTGTCCTTAATTAAATGAAATTACGGCTGTCACATCATTGCTTGGTCCTATTATTCCTGCAACGCCGCTATCATGCCACATACTTGTCATGCCATCAATCTTTTGCCACGTGACCAATCTCTTTCAACCACATTAGGAAGTTTCTGCCACGTCATCAAAATCTCGTCTGGACTTATAGTCATTCTTGTCACCTGTCCATGAAGGTCTGCGCCATATCTAGGAGGATTGTAAATTCTTGCACCATGATTCAGGCTGAATGTAAATTCATGTACACTACAAGAAAACACATTTTTGCCGACCATTTTTGACTACCAAAACAAATTTAGTCGCCAAAAGTGTGGGAATTGGCTACCAAAATTAATTTTAGTCGGCAAAAGTCAAACTTTTAGCTACTAATTTTTTTTAGTAGGGGAATGTTGATTATTGGCGACTAAAAAAATTTAGTAGCTAAAAAAAATACAATTGGCGACTAAAAAAAATTTTACTAGCTAAACATATCACAATTGGCGACTAAAAGAATTTTTAGTCGCCAAAGACTTACTTTTGGCTACTAAATAGTTTGGTAGCCGATTGGAAATGTCAGGTTGCTTATTCATGCAATTTTAGCAACCTCACTGTCTAATGTTCTTGTTCCAATATCTTGATAACCAACAGCAAAAATGCTTGAGACCGCAAATGAATTTCCAAATATTCTACACGTTACTCACTTGAGTGTTGTGTAGAATATTTGTTAATTCATTTGGAGTCCCTAGCATTACTCAACAAACAACAAACAACAAACAGTGACTTAAAAGTTACAAGTTGGCATGCAATTTATCACTGGTCGTGAATTGTTTTACTTGCACTATTCTTGGTTCCTACACTCTTCCTTGCCGCAATGTCAGAGCTCGCACGTTTCTTGCATTAGTTGGTATTAGAGTCTGCATACTCCTTTCTTTATTTAGAAAATCTAGAATTCTTTTAAAGGAATTGTAGTGGCCAACCTTATTCTTGTTCAGTGCCCCTATATGGAAAATAGGTCGGATAAAGTGCATCTTTATACCATGTCTGTCACTCGTGTCAATTCTTGTGTATTTATTGATTTTTTGAAATATTTTTTTTATAAATATTTTATTTTTTTGATACATCAGTAAGATACTATCTAAAAAAGTAAAAAAATTGCTTAAAAATAAAAAACTCAATTTCTAGAAAATTGAATCCAAAAAATTGAAACCAAACATAGTGATTATATTCATCCGTGTTATCTGCATATCTAGTTCCATGATGTATGGTGGTGTCCCGCACTGTATATTGTCATCGATACTCCACTGTTGCTGACTTACTGATATTATTGTTTATTATTGTCACCTTTTGTTTTCCCATTCTGTTTCCTTTTGTTTTGGTATGATTGTTTGTTCTCTATCAAACAGTATAATATGTCCAAGAAAATCATAGTTTACACCAACTCTATGTTGTAGGCTTCCACAACACCTTTGTTTACCATTTTATTTTAGCAAATGCAATTGTTGGATCTTGGCATATAATTGGCACCCTCTGTAATGAATTTCTTTTATACTGAACTATTGCTTGTTTGCAGTGTTTTGGTTCACAGTGGTGGCGTGCACGGTGGACATTATTATGCTTATATCAGGCCAGCCCTCACGGATCAGTGGTATCACATTACTGTCTCTTTCTGATTGTTATTTTTTTTGCGGTTTATTTATTCTATTTGACATGCTCAGCAAAGCTTTGAAGCAAATGGTGGAAACAAGGTTTTAAAAGCGACCGCAACCATTACGTAACGTCGTTACGTAACGGTTGTGGTAGTTACCGCCACTCGTGTCACGTCCCAAGCTCCGTGACAACGCCGCACACTCATTTAAGTGAGCATGCATGGCTAAGAGTCCAACACATAACTAACAATGTAAAATACTCCAATCAAATCTTTAATTATCATAATACTAAAATCCATAAAAAAATTAATTATTCTTATCATATGAAATTATCCATCAAATCCACTAATAAAATCCATTAACAAAACAAATAATCCAAGTACTTAAATCATAGTCCGACTCTCGGCACTCCCATATGTAAAAAAATCCCGCGCAGCTCTACTCTTCAGAATCTGAAAAAAATAAAATAAGGGTAAGCTAGACAGCCTAGTAAATAACCAACCATCACTGCCAGCTGGATCAAGTATAAAAAAATAAATAAATAAATCGATAATCAATAAATATAAATTTTTATTCAATTCAATAAATGACCAATTATTTTGTAAGATGGTTTCATAGCTAAAAATAAACAATGTACAATACATTTTAAATGAAAAGCCAACAAGATAATTCAAAGTAATTCATTGTTCAAATCGATGGATCGATATTCAGATGGTTCAATGATTTGATTCACAAAACCCAAGTCTTATTGACTACGGTCACATAGCCCGTGACAAGGCCCAGAACCACACATAGGCCGGTGGTAAAGCCCCAAAAGAAAATAGTTTCTGTGCCAATAAATAACCCCCATTGGCTAGGGTCCAAATCATAGTCAGACTAAAGTGATGTTCAAAATTCACACAATACACAAATTTTAAATAAAACATTCGATATTTTCAGAATAAACGTTTAGTATAATTTTCAGAATAGTTTCACCGAATATTCAAATAACTTTCATAATAATATTCGATGTTGTTTTATACTTGATCCATATTTTATTTTAAGAGAACATGAAAGCTACGAATAAATATTTATGATTTTAAACGATTCGATATGATTAAAAATAAACCAACAGTGATAGAGGGTTACTTACCTCAAACAGCTAAAATAATATTTCCCAAGCTAATCTCAAATTACCAAGATCCACCTCAATCTCACAAACCTAATAAAATATTATACCACATAAACAATTATTATTGATCACCATGATGCATCTATCATTCTTTTCTTTATAATGTAATAATCTAATCCTATAGTCTACAAGTAAATTCCAAAACCCCAAAATACATACACCCAATCAACATACAAGATACTATGTCTAAAGAAATAGTTAGGAGTACCATAAAAACAAATCTTACCTCCAAGAGATGATTAGATCAAAGTCACCAATCTATGAATCTTCTTTCTTTTCTTTTCTTCTTCTTCTTCTCACTGTGATGAAGAAGAGAGAGGGGAACATCTGAACCAAAAACTGAACATCTGAACCAAAAACTTCTTCTTCTCACTGATAACTCTCTCTCTCTCTCCCTCAAAACACTTCATTGATTATTCCCCTCAACATGTCTCACTAAGAAATGACCCATATAAATTAATTTAATTACTACTTTAACCAAAAATAATTCTACACATAAAATTTTGGATTTTACATTCTTCCCCACTTAAAAGAAATTTTGTCCTCGAAATTTGACATACCTGGAGTCTCAAAAAGTTGTGGATACTTTTGTCTCATTTCATCCTCAAGTTCCCAAGTAGCTTCTCTTTCCGAGTGATTACTCCATTGAACCTTAACATAGTGAATGACTCGACGCCTCAAAACATGTTCCTTCCTATCAGCAATTCGTATAGGGTGTTCCTCATATGTCAAATCCTCCTTAAACTGCAACGGTGCATGATCAATCACATGACTAGGATCCGGTATATACTTCCTTAACATTGAGACATGAAAAACATTATGAACTCCAACTAGTGAAGGTGGTAGGACAAGTCTGTAAGCTACCTCACCAATTCGATCTAAAACCTCAAATGGCCCAACAAATCTAGGACTCAATTTACCACGAACACCAAACCTCATTACTCCTTTCATAGGAGACACCTTAAGGAATACATGGTCTCCAACCCTAAACACCAAATCACGTCTCCTGTTATCTGCATAACTTTTCTGTCTACTCTGTGCCATGCGAAGTCACTCTCTAATAAGATTGATCTTGTCCACTGTTTGTTGCACAATCTCAGGCCCTAACAACTTCCTTTCACCCACATCATCCCAATAAATAGGTGATCTACACTTTCGTCCATATAAAGCCTCATATGGTGCCATCTGAATGCTGGCATGATAACTGTTATTATAAGGGAATTCCACTAAGGCCAAATGTTCATCCCAAGAACCTCCAAGATCGATAACACAAGCCCTCAACATGTCTTCCAAGGTTTGAATAGTTCTCTCTGACTGTCCATCAGTTTGAGGATGAAAGGCAGTGCTAAAATTCAAACTAGTGCCCAAAGCTGTATGCAAACTCTTCCAAAACATATATACAAATCTGCTATCTCTATCAGACACTATGGTCACCGGAATACCATGTAACTTCACAATCTCCTTGATATACAATTTTGCTGCTGGGGCCATCCGATACGGAGCCTTGGAGATAGGACCCATGCCAGGTATCAATTCAATGGCAAACTCAATCTCTCTATCTAGTGGCAACCCCGGTAACTCTTCAGGAAAAACATCGGGAAATTCCTTCACGACTAGAATATCCTCTAACTTCAATTCAGTCTCACGGGAATCTCTCACAGAAGCTAAATAGCCCTCGCAACCATTCCTTAACAACCGTCTAGCTTGCAAAGCTGAGATTACCAGAAGAGGAGTGTTAACTCCACTACCCACAAAACAAAATTCTGGTTGATTAGGAATCTGAAATACTACCATTTTTCCTCGACAATCAACAGAAGCATAATTGGTTGCCAACCAATCCATTCCAAGAATTATGTCAAAGTCCCGCATATCTAAAACAGTTAAGTCTACAAGCAATTTTTTGTCATCTATACTAACCACACGAGATTTGCAAATTAAGTCAGCAACCATAACACCTCCTATCGGGGTTTCAACACATAAGTCGATCTCTCTAGAGACACATTTCCATCCATATTTCTCAACAAATCCCATAGACACAAATGAATTTGTAGCACCAGAATCAAATAACACATGTGCATAAACAGAAGACACTAAAACAGTACCTGACACCACCATGTTGGAAGTCTGAACATCTTGTTGCGTGAGTGTGTACACTCGACCCTGAGTCTTTGGCTTATGACCTCCATTTTTCTTTTGACTTCCTGAAGACCCTTTGTCTGTTGATGCTCCTTTATTTGTCCATGTCTTCTATTCAATCTCATGCCCCTTCCGGTTAGGGCAATCAGTTATCCTGTGCCCTTGTTGCCCGCAAGAGAAACAAGCCCCAGTATTCCAACGACACTCACTATCCCGATGGAATCCATTACACCTAGTGCATTGTACCCGATCATTCTTCTTATCAACACTACTACCCATAGTTCGACTTCCCCAACTCCCAACCGAAGAAGTGTTTTGTCTCTTAGCATTGCCCTTCGAACTGTTAGTTTGGAAAGAACTAGGCCTCTTCTTATAATTCTCTTCTTTCTCTTCTTGGGCTCTGGTAAGGCCACTCTCAACTAGCAAAGCCTTATTCAACACTGCTCCAAAAGTAGGTAACTCGAAAGGAACCACCTGTTGCATAATGTTCGTTCTTAGCCCACCTTCAAACTTCCGTGCTCTGCTATCCTCATCTGTTTCAAATGCTGATGCAAATTTAGACAACTTCGTAAACTCAGCTTCATATTCTATAATCGTCTTATTCCCTTGCTCTAACTTCAAAAATTCCCTCTGTTTTTGTAGACGAACACTAACTTCGTAAACTCAGCTTCATATTCTGCAACCGTTTTATTCCCTTGCTCTAACTTCAAAAATTCCCTCTGTTTTTGTAGACGAACACTCCTAGGGAAGTATTTCTCATTGAATGCCTTCTTAAACCTTTCCCATGTATAGGAGTTGGCATCATGCTCGTGTATGCGCTTCTCCATCTGCCACCAATCATTAGCTATCCCTTGTAGCATAAACGTAGCATAGGTCACCTTCTGATCATCCGTACACTCAAAAACGGGAAACAACTTCTCCATTTCTGTCAACCATTTTTCAGCCTCCAAAGGGTCTGTGGCTCCGTCAAATGCCAAGGCTATCTTCTTAAACTCGGTAATGTTACAACGTGGCCTTGGTTGTGGCCCAACACCCGGCTGTATCCGCTGTTGTTGCTCCATAAGTCTAGTCAAGTTATTCCCTATGGTGGTTTGTTGTTGCACCACCCCGACCAACGTTTGAAGCACTTGAACCATTTCAATTGGATTGGGGATTGCAGCTTGTTCTTGGTGCTAGTGGGTTTGTGTCTGTTTTGGTTTTGGTTTCGATTTCTTTTGGTTTTCGTGAGCTCAGGGAGCCCTGCCTTGTACACAACAACTGGGCAGACGTGATTACTGCTACCGAGGTCGCGCCCGCGACGGGCCATGACCAAAGCATGCTTTTAGATCAAATGTATGGGGGCAAAGTGCGTGGCCCATGAGGGACCAAGAGGGAGGTCGCGGCCTGCATGGTCACGCCTACGATTGTGCCATTCACGGCCACGGTCTTGTAGACACCCCATTTTTGACAACCCATAAGACTTGAGCGTTACTGATGGTTTACTTGGTGATGAAAGGTGTCACGTCCCAAGCTCCGTGACAACGCCGCACACTCATTTAAGTGAGCATGCAAGGCTAAGAGTCCAACACATAACTAACAATGTAAAATACTCCAATCAAATCCTTAATTATCATAATACTAAAATCCATAAAAAAAAATTGATTATTCTTATCATATGAAATTATCCACCAAGTCCACTAATAAAATCCATTAACAAAACAAATAATCCAAGTACTTAAATCATAGTCCTACTCTCGGAACTCCCATATGTAAAAAAAATCCCGCGCAGCTCTACTCTTCAGAATCTGAAAAAAATAAAATAAGGGTAAGCTAGACAGCCTAGTAAATAACCAACCATCACTGCCAGTTGGATCAAGTATAAAAAAAATAAATAAATAAATCGATAATCAATAAATATAAATTTTTCTACAGTTCAATAAATGAACAATTATTTTGTAAGATGGTTTCATAGCTAAAAATAAACAATGTACAATACATTTTAAATGAAAAGCCAACAAGATAATTCAAAGTAATTCATTGTTCAAATCGATGGTTCGATATTCAGATGGTTCAATGATTTGATTCACAAAACCCAAGTCTTAATGACTACGGTCACTTAGCCCGTGACAAGGCCCAGAACCACACATAGGCCGGTGGTAAAGCCCCAAAAGAAACTAGTTTCTGTGCCAATAAATAACCCCCATTGGCTAGGGTCCAAATCATAGTCAGACTAGAGTGATGTTCAAAATTCAACAATACACAACTTTTAAACAAAATATTCGATATTTTCAAAATAAACATTTAGTACAATTTTCATAATAGTTTCATAAAATTTTCATAATAATATTCGATGCTATTTTATACTTGACCCATATTTTATTTTAAAAGAACATGGAGGCTATGAATAAATACTTATAATTTTAAACGATTCAACAGGAATAAAAAATGTACCAACAGTGATAGAAGGTTACTTACCTCAAACACTTAAAAAATAATATTCCAACACCAACTCCAAACTCTCAGCTCCACCACTTTAATCACACAAACCTAATAATTAGAACCTTAAATAAATTAATATTTTTATGTCTATCACACATCCACAAAACCCACTGTATGTATGAAAAGCTCAAGAAATACCAAATCAATTCTCCAAATTAATAGTCAAACACACCTTATCTAATATACCAAACTCTATTGTCAAAACTACACCTACACAAATAGATTGCACTTTTATCATCAACCTAGACAGAGCACTATACACGTTGAACCCTATAACCATTAGGCATCCCCACAGGTTTTCTTTTCCATCTCCTTTTCTTTGCCTATTGATCTATTGCATATAATAAACAATGGTGTAAAGAAAAAGTACCTTGATCAATGAGCATCAAGAATGCTCCCCACAATTCCCCACCGCCACTTCCAGCGAACCCTCTGCGCAATTCATAACAAAAAAATATAAAACCCTTTTTTCCTTTTTATGGCGACCAATATTTTGGTAGCCAAAAGCGACATTTCTTGTAGTGGTACCATGATCCAGGTCGAATGCAAATTCCTACACCATGATCCAGGTCGAACGTTAGACAGTTTCCGCACTATGTTCGAAGCTGACCGTCAATTCTTGTAACTTGCAAGATCTCAGATTTCTATAAGGTTTAACAGACTTGCAAATAGGCATTT